AGGGAAAGAACTTTGTTCCTTATCACAGGGTTCCCACCCAGATCAAGTGGTGACTGAAAAGGTCTTCAGTGGCCAACGGGTGGGCTTTTCAGGAAAGTGCCTGTACCATCGTGCTGGCGCGCTCCTAACTTCCCACACTAGTTGCTCTGAGGTTTCACCCTGCCTACCACTGGCATGAATTCAGGCTTGCCCTGGTGAATGGCAGCTCCTAGAGCAATGGTACCTGTGTGATGGGGCTGCTGAAGTCAGTAAGGCTACTAAGCGGGTTGTCCTGAACGATACAACCCCTTGTGGCACCAGCTGTTGCTCCGCCAAGAGCGATAGGGGCTTCCTGTAAGACTGTGTAAGGGCCTCCGCTTGGTGATGTCTACACGTTGCATTAAAGGAGCTCACAAATAAACTAGAGCAAAAGAGAAAGGGGAAAAATAGGGAATGAGGAAGAAAAAGAGTAGCATGTAGGTATACTTCCTTGGAGATGGCAACATTTAGGGATAAGTTATAAATCTCTAATCTCTCCATGATGCAGAAATGCAAAAAAGTGCCAGCATGTATCTGCATACATAAGAGCAAATATGTTCAGTCTGAATAATTGTGTTATTTTCTTAATGGAAGTAAAGAATGGAAAAATACAGTTATGTCTCTTCTCTGCAACACTCTACACAGAATTAAATTTAAAATGGCTGTCCAAAAATACTATGGCTCTGGAAAGTGCCTCAATAGAGATCAGGATGGGCTTTAAAAATAATCAGGATTTACTTTTTACAGTTGTGCATATAAGGACAGCAGATAAATTAGTCATATTACTTTCCAGAAAAATGAAGTTACATTGATGCGAACCACAGAAAAAACTTGTTTTTTAAAACTGCCTTTTGCTGTTCAAGTTTGAAACAATTCTCTAAATTCAGTATCTATAAATTAAAATCACAGCTTACATAATTATCAGACTTGATTCTTCACTGGTGATTCCCACTGACTGATACAATAACAATCCTCTTTTAAAAATTGTATGTCTTCTTAAAGTTACTTTTACTTTAAAATAGTCCAATAGTATAGTAACCTGAAGTGGAGGAGACAGCAGCAGGAGAAACAAAAGACACTAAAATTCTCAGAGATTTAGCACGTTTAGTTCTGTTATCCAGTAAAGTCAACTGCTTAATCCTTTACAGACCCGATCAAGTTAAGATGAGCACTCTCCTACCGAAATCAGTAGGACCTGAGAGCAGTCAGCACCTTCCAGAATCACACCTTCGTAGAGAGACGGCCACAAAAAAGCAGCTGCATGAAGAAAGTTGAGCAGTTCAAATGATTTTCAGAAAAAAATTTAGGAACTGCTAAAGGTTCTCCCAATCAATTCTATCAATAATTTGCCATGTTAGAAAAGTAGTGAGACTGTCTTGGTAGAACATATGACAAATCTGCCATCAGGGATTCAGCCTTGGTCCTTGACTCCAAACAAAGCTGCTACGGAAAAAGATGTGAAAAGCTTCAGCTGGTCTCAGGCACTGCTTTGTTTGTGTCCTGCGGCATGGGTTTGTGTTTTTGCTGTATGTACTGCTTTTACCTGACAAATGCTTTTTTTGTAGCAAGCGTTCCTCTTTTCCGTCTATATCACAGGGCAAATGGTTCCAAAAGTCTGAGTCAGCCTGAGATGAAATAGTTCAAATGTTAGGTATGACAAAGGGGGAATGTTTACTACATGCATTTCATGATAGAAATCATGGTATTGTTGTTTTAACCAACCCAGTCTCACTCCCTGCAGGACCCCAGTTAGGGAGAGTGGTCTCTGCTCTGTCTCCCCTCCATACTCATTACCAGCTTCTCTCTGACAGATTTCTTCAGTCCAAGGCAACTCGCAGATCATTCTTCTTCCTCATGTATTGTATGACTATTTAGGTCAGGCTGGAGACAGAGATTACTGTGAACTACCAATTACACTGAAATACCAATTCTATTAAAATTATTAGATCCGTAGTTTGCTTTTCATGATCATTTTAAAAGCACTGCTAATATGAAAAGGTCTGGGAATACTTTCAACATGAGAAGTCCTTTCCTAGTATTGCTTACCTCTTCCTGGCAACATCCCAAATTTGCATCCCCCTGGAAGACCTGATACAGTTTAGGAATACCCAGGGCTTTCTTACACTAGCCATCTTTTTCTGCTGGGTGTCAAATAAGATCTGACTGCTTTCTCTTAAGACCGCACTTCTTCTATCATAACATCAACGCTGTGATAATTTGACTTTATGTATTTCTACATTTCTCCAGCATAAAGAGCATTTTGCATTGCCAGCAGGCTTCAGAACAGTTGCCTTCAACGTTTTCATTTCCCGCTATCTCCTTCTGGGCAAGCCTGGCTTTGCTGATATAATGAATCATATGTTTAATAGTGTTACTGCTGGCTAACAGAGCAGAACATGGGAATTAAGAGATTTCCTACAATGATATGCAAGGGTATTTCCAACAAAAACGGATAAACTTTTCTCTTCTGTTGCAGATCCAGGCAGCCAAACCATTAGTGGACACAAGTACCCCTGCAACATATGGCCACCTTCATCTGAAGTTAGGGAAGCTGAAGGTATTATACTGGTTACTTCACTTAGCACTAGCATGCTTACCTTCGTATCTCCTCTCAAAGGAAACAAAGAGAAAAGCCACTGGGTAGATTATGAGAAGCTCAAAATTTCAAGCCCATTTTTATCTCGCTGCATTGATTTTTGCAACAGGACTATCAAAATCCCTGGATAGCACACTCCCAGCCCTATGATATAAGTTACTTTTTTCTTTATGATTCTTGATACAATCAGACTGCTTCAGACTACCAAGTACCAAGTGTTAATGTATCCTCCTAAAAGATAATTCTGCACAACCATGTAAAAAACATCCCAAGTAACAGAAATAACACGATCATCAAGATACAGGGCAATGAACTGAATACAAGGATGTTAACGTATTTGAAGCACAAGAAACAATGGGTAGCCTTGACTGGCAGTTATCCTTCAAAATCTTATTGCTCCCAAGAGGCAAATTTTTATAAAAGATGACAGTGGAGAATAAATTGTTAACTAATTAACTCTGCTCACTAAAAGGAAACAAAAACAAAAAAACCCTAAACCTGACGCAATAAAATATACAGGCAGCTGTATACAGGCAGCTGTATACAGGCAGCAGCACCCTGTCAATGACTTAATTTACAACAGTGCCCCTCAGGCAATGGGATCAGAGCCCAACTAAGGACCTCAGAATTCATTCACTTAAAAATGTTTATCATCTCACTGCATGACATAATAATCCCCAGGCACCTTAAAATTATTTCACTATCAAACAATTAATTTCTCTCCCATGCATAAAATCATATGCTATAGTAGGACTTGGATTCTGTTTTAATTTTTTCCTAATACTCTAAAAGTAACACAGAAACAGTTCCTCTGAAAATGGAAGAGGGCACAGATACACAACAACCCCACAGGTTAACAACAACAACCAAAACTCACTAATCTCAGGTGTGTCCCTTTGAAAAATAGGTTCTGATACCTGGGAGCAAGACTGTGGTCCTAATGTCTTTCTCATCCTGCTTCTTTCCAAAGCGTTACAGAAGGAAAGAAAGAAAGAAAGAAAAACTGTAACGTTGCAAGTAGGCTTCTCTTCCAGTAATCAGTTCTCTTCTTCATAGTCATTCTCGTCAGGGTTGTTTAGAGCCTGACGGGATTACTTAATGCACTGTTTTTAGGTACATTTATACTACAATGTGACCAGTATCTGACCTGCTTTAGTTATATAGCCTAGCAAACAAGGCAGATGCACTAGATTCCCTACAGCAACGTGCTACTATAACATGAGCCATTCAAAATGATCAGAGCAGGATTTCCTGTTCATTTTATATAGGACATGCAATATCTTTGGATTGCTTAGAATCAAATATTTAAAAAAAAATGAAAGGAGAAGAATAAGTCCATATGCCCAAAACAGTAATATCTCTGCAGTAACTCTCTTTTGGGAGGCTTGAGAGAGCAAGATGTTGAAGACCAGCTATGAAAAGAGTAATTTCCCTGCTCTCCTCCATCCACCCTTTCTCTGGCTACCTCCAACTCAGCCCTGCTGGAGATGGCATTCTTGGAACACAGATAACTTTGAAGATAAGTTTCTTCTCTGCACCTCTCTCTCATTCCTCCCCAATCCTCACAAACACTTTTACCACAGATTTGTGTTCTTCAAACAAAAGTGTGGTAGCATTTTCTTTTTCAAATTAGGCAATGCCCCAGGATATCCAAAAGGATTCTCCCTCTCCTCTGGATTCCTTCAATTCTCATCCCACTTTTGACACTAAGGTATTTTGCCCATTACACAGTTTAATTTCAGAAACACTGAGATTATTGAGGTCACTAATATCTTCTATCTTAAAATTGAAATTAAAAAAGCTAAAATCATGCTAACAGTGCACAGATCTAGCACACACTGCCTCACACATGTATCCCCATTTGCTCATTACACCCAGTTGCTGCTTCTCCTCTTACGTTAGTCTGAAACTCCTCCAGGACAAGAATGGCCTGCAACTGGACCTAATCCAAATCCCACTGAAGTCAATGGAAAAATTTCCATTTGATCCAAAGCCCACTGAAGTCAATGGAAAGACTCCCATTGACTTCAGAGGAGTTTGGATGAGTCCCATCGTATATTTGAACAGCGTCCATTACAATCCTTGATTTTGACTTGAGTCTATGAATGCTGCTCTAAACACAAATGATAATCATGATCCTTCAAAATACATTGACAAATATAAATAGAAATTTTGCTTACACTAATGAAATACATTTGCTAATCATGCAGGCTGCTGCTGTGGTTACAGGAGAGTGTCTGAGGGTCAAGTTCACAGCATTTCAAAGGGACTTTTCCCATCAGGCCTCCATTAAAATGGGTCTGAAGTGATACAAAGGGGTCTCTCAACACTAGAATGAAGCTTTACTTGATCAGTGTTAATCACACTCTGTATAGAGGAGGAGACAGGAACTGTGAACACCTTGTTAGGTAGTCATAACATAACTGCTGTTTGCTATGGCCTTGTAAAAACAGAAGTGTTTCTTTATCCCTTCTGTACACAAAGTTGGAGGAAGATCGACTTTCAGTCATCGAAAGAGACAACCGTTTGCTGCTGAAGAAGATGTCCTGCATCATGAGGACAAAAGGACAAATCGACAATAAAAATGACTATAAGGCCAAAAGGTAACATCAGCAGCACTATTTGCATTTAGTTATCAAGTTACTCTCCCAGTGACAAACATAGCTAAGGATAAACTGCTCTGCAAGGACATGTATCTAAAGGCAGCCTAAGGTATAATCAACACTTCAGGAAGCCATTTGCTTGCCCTGTCACAGGAAATCCAATACTAGGCCATTTTCCTCCTACTCTCTGTTGAAGAGAACATGGCTTTAAATTAGTTTTTCAGTTTAATAACTGAGGGAATGCAAAAAGAGAACACTGCCCTACTTTAAGGAAAATAAATGAAGCAAACCTATTATGTCTCAGCAAAGCTGTTGTTGCTGCTGAATGAGTCATTGCTGCTGACTTTGCCAGTCATTCCTTCAGACACCACTGGAAAGAGGGAGATCCAAAGCTTAGCAATGAAATAAAAACAGAGCAAAAATAGAATTAAGAAGAAAAAAAATGGAGCAGGAAGGAGGCAGAAATCAAGATATAATTTGTTGCTCAAGGGAGACTAAGCAAAATATGCCTTGAAGATTTATTACTAGAGATAACCACCTTACAATCTTTTGATTCACAAGGAAATATGCACCCCTAGTACAGCAAAGCAGTCAACAGCAGGGACAGCCTTGGGAAGCAAAGGAAGAATTCCACGTTGCACAGCAGAGGATGGTTTGTATAACTCAGGTGGCAGTTGTTACACCTCTTGTGACTCATTTACAGACAGACTAGTTCATGAAAAACTGATTGTTCATTAGGCTCTCATGTCTCCAGTTAGCAAACTGCTGCTCAGCTTCAAATGACCTAAGTAGAGCTCGCTATATTTCATGGTCAGGAATATCTGGACACTTGCACACTCCCTTGCGAAGACAGAAATGATTTGGAATAGAGTTTGTCATGTCCACGTCATGCAAATCCACATTACAGCACTTACATGTTGTCACCGATAAATAACACCCAGATCTGTGCAAGTATCAGTGAGCATCAGCTAACTATATTGCTGAAGGTATGACTCCACAAGTGTAAGAGAACAGTATCCTCCCGCTTTCTACTCCCTCTCTGCCTTCTTGATCTGAGCAGCAAACTCCTGTTGCTTCCCTGGGATCAACTCTGGTTTTCATCAAACCTCTCCATTAGGTAATTAAACTCAAGAAAACAGCAGAAAACTAACCCAACAAAAACAAACAAACCTGAATAGTTTTTCTGCCATTTTTTGCAAGGCCCTGATGAATTCCAGGGCTGATGCAAGGAATGGAGGAGACCACACAGCTGGAAGCAGGGGGGAGAGAAGCAGGGAGAGAAAGGAAAAGAGCAAGGCCTTCCTTTTTTGGTGGCAGCAAACTGCTATGAGATCAGCTTAACTGCCCGTGAAACTGTAGTCTAAGAAATCACGAAAAATTTGCAAAGAGCTTGAGGTCATACGCTTATCTCAGTTGTCTTCATATTTCCGAACTCAGTTCATGAGGTTTCTACAAAAAATAAAGGTCAAAACCCAAATGATTAAAATTAAGTACCTCAGACACCAGTCACGCCCTCACCTTCAGTATGGCACTAAAGAAATTCCAGGACTGGAGGGCTGACTTAATATAAGATAAAAGATTAAATTATTGTCAAATGTACCAAACTTCCACACAGTCACGACTCAGTTTAGAAGATACTGTAGAAAACTTATAATCTTTAGAAGGACAAACAGATTGAGTTGTGAAGTCTAGCTAATGCAGATTCAAGGAGGAGGAAGTCCTTGTAGTCCTTGTATAAAGCCTCAAGAGAATTCTCCTCTAACACAAGACTGATAGATGTTTCATATTTTGGGTTCCCAGGCTTGGGAACAGTAACGACTGTGAAGAAGTTTGATTCTGTTTGTATGTTTTCCCCTTTAGTTTAAATAGGGAACAACGAAAGAAGGAGCTGCTGAGATTGAGCCAAGAAAACCGTGCCATTCTGGATAGAATTACAAAGTCTGAGCCTCAGTATCAAGTTCACAGATGGCATGAGCATTGGCAACAAGCTGAAAAATACAGGGCCAACATTACAAGATATCCTCGTGGGCAGTGTAAAGCACAGAGCCAAAAGGTAGCCCTGAACTTCTGTTCTTTCCTTCCCAGTTCTTTCTAGATCGGAACTGTCTCTGCAGTGCATTTTGCCGTGCTTTTGTGCTAGAGATTAACTGCAACTGCAGCCAATTGCACGGTTAACAACCTTCCATTTATAAAGCCACTTTCATCAAATGAATCCCAGAGCACTTTTCAGACTTTATTAGGCTATTCGTAAGTGCATTAGTTTCTACAATCAGACTGTTTGCCACAGAAACACCGCTCTCTCAAAAATAAAAAAATAAAAATTTTTAAAGGAGCAGTGCCTTAACAGTTTCCTGAGAGACAGAGCCAAACACTGCAGCAATATTTGAAGTGACCAAATGGTGATACGCATCGAGGGCTCCAAAATCTACCCTGGCTACCCTGTGCAAAGTAATCAGCTTCTTATTTTCATTAGCAATATAGGTGAGTTATAAAATCAGCTAGATGAGGTATTAGCAAGCTTTCCCAGAGAAAGAAAACTGAGGATCTTTAACCTTTCCGCGGCCAAAATCCCTGGAATCCCTGGCTCCAAGCCTACTAACTCACCAACTCTCAGCTTTCATTCAAAGCTGCAGGGAAGCTGCGGTGCTGACCAGCAGGCGGCAAGGAGCCCATGTCAGCTCTGCCCTCACCCATCCCTCACCATCACCTCGAGCTGCTGAGCCTCCGTAGTCGCAGGCCTTGATTTGGGAGGTTTGTCCTCTGTCATGTGAGTATGATTCAATGTATATGGGTGTGGTGCAGCCCCTGCACTCCCTACCCCACCCACTACGTCTAGCCTGAGGTCACTGAATTAAACGTTTTGGAAGCTTGTAGTACATATGTAAAAAGGAGATTTTTTCAAAGGTGCAGCTCATGCAAATCTGGCTGAGTCTTTCCGAGAACAGTAGGTGTTATTTCTTTTAACCCAGCCCTATCCCTTTGCCAGATCATTGGTCCTGGTTCTAATTCCAGTAGATTTGCTTAGGAGAAGCAAAGCACTTGAAAGAAAGAGCAAGAAAAACCACTTAGCATTGCAAGCAAGAAACAGATCCCCTCACCAACTTCCTTCCTATCCTGAGACCGTTCCTGAATACAGCTGTATCACTTTTGCTAAAGTCCCCCAAAACTATTCAATCTGACACAGCAAGCAAGTATAGAAAGCTTCAACCTAAACAGTTTAGAAAGCTTCAACCTAAACAGTTAAGACTTGGCAAAGAAATAAGCAACTAAAAGAGAGGCTTCTATAATGGAAAAATATTAAGCAGTTTTAATTACGGCAGCTGCATCATTGCAAACCAAAGAATTATATTAAAAATAAAGGTTGTAAATTCAGGTGCTCCGTAGTTAGGAAGTATCAAAATTATGGTTGAAAGATATTATTCAAAGATTTGTCTCTTGACCAAATGTTGATTTTGGCAGATTTCCATAAATGCATAAGCAAATTGTCATACAGAAGTAAACACATCATACAACCCTCGCCACATCATCTGTAAGTCTCTGCTCCATAATCAATAGCTACTAGAACATCTCTAAGAAGTAGCCACTAGAAAGTATTTTTTCCAGTCTCCAGTTTAGAAATGGCTGAGCCATTTTGAAGGACACTTGAAAGACAGATAAGCAAGCATGATGCAGACAGCTGCAGCAGACTTCTTCAGCCGAGCAGAGGAAATCCAGCAAAGGTATAGCTGAAAATGGGATTACAGGCAGTAGTTGGCAAGATTTGCAGTAAGTGGTGCTATGGGATGATCCCTCTATGCTTATACAGTTTATGTGAAACCAGTTCAGGCTTAATTTTTAATAAATGACAAGTCCTGCTTATTCCCATCAACCGTTCCTCTTCTCTCTCTCTGTTGCAATGTAAAGCTTTTTTTGGCCATAGAGACGCCATTATAGCAGGAGCAAGCGCGAGTCTTTACATAAGGACATTCTTTACTGATCCCAACTGAAAACTGAGGAAATATGTTACCTGAATCAAGCTGTCCACTGGGCAGCCTAATAGAATTTGCTCCATCTCTGATGACCCAGACGTTCTGATGAACAAAAGGGAGAATTCCCTTCCTTCACCCTGGAAAAGGACAACAGTAATATCACCAACAAGCACGCTTGTCACCTTTCTTTGCTAACTGAGCTTTGGTGCCAAGGGAACATCCCTGAAAATAGATCATAGAGCATTAGAAAATCAAGGCATTGCCAGGTTCTTTGTTTTACATGCATTTGTATTGATTTCTCTCTTTTCTGGCAGGAAGAAACATTTAGAAAGCAAGTACCGAAACAAGACAGAAGAAGAGGGAAGCAGCTGAAGGAAGAAAGTATGAAAAGTAAGATGAAGGAAAAGGTAAGAGATCATGTCCACCATGGAAAGGGAAGAGATCAGCTAGAACAAGACAGCACTCCAGGAATGGCACAATTCCCCCAGTCACCTGTGAAGGCAATTTATCAAGTAGCAAAGGTCTTTTATTCATATTCCCTCTTGGATTAACTACAGCATTTGGAAATTTTACTGTCCTCAGCCTTCTGCCTTGCCCTTCTGCTGGAAGTCACTCCTTCCCTGGCAGAGCAGACCTGCAGAACAGGGAGCTGTGAGTCCATTCTGTGATTGCAACCCTGTGCATCAACGTACTTAGATTTCAGTAGTTGTAAGTTAAAGTGATATGCACGTGATAACTTCCAGCAACAGAGAAGAGCAGACTTGTGAGAGCAGTAACCACTTCAGCTGCACAGCTAAACTCAGCAAGAATTGTATACAGAGCCCCTGTATGAAATGGGGTACTTGGGAGAAGCAGGTGGAAGAGCTCATATGCTAGTTTAGGATACTATGATTTTAAGCATTCTGAAGGAGCGTAGATTTTAGATACACCATGTCTTCAGTACACTTAAAAAAAAAAAAAGCATAAAGCAGAATGGCATAAAAACCACTTCCTTCATAATTACCAGTAAATCTACTTAGAACATATAAAAACTAATGAAGAAGGAGCTTAACCAGGAAAAGGACTGTAACTGAGTAACTGGAGTATAACTGATTGATTCATCTCATTAAGATTAGGGGAGTTTTCATGTGACAATTTTCAGCTCAGTATCTGAAGATTCCCCAGTGAAAACCAAGTTGGACAACAGTAAATAGCTTTGCGTGAGGGTTTTAGAATGTACTCAAAGGCTAACCACTTTCTAGCAGGGAAAGTGCTTGGTGGACAACCCCCCTCCCACCACAGCTACAGAGACCACTGCCTTCTTTATTCATCATTAAATGCAATCGTTGTGTCAATCTCAGTAATTGCATTCACAGAAAGAAAATACTAAAAATACATGAAATACCTTTCTAGCTTCCCTTTTAATGGGATTTAGCAGCTTGAAGCAAGATGAAACAGCACCACCAGACCCATCAGCTCTCTGTGTGTTACAATCTAGCACTTTTTAGACCGTCACTGATCTATATAGTTCAGGGCACAGAAACTTACTTTCTGAAATGAACATTCAGTATTACTTATTTTTTAATTCCAGTTCTTCAAGAGAAAACATATTAAAATCACAGACTGATCTCAGCATAGCCAAGCAAGGTTCTCTCAGAAGACAAAGCAACTGAAACCAAGAAGTCATAAATACTAGTTTTTGTTTCATTTGAAGTAGAGTTGCATCTGTAATCATTTTGGAGGCTGCCAGCTTTTTAAACAGACACCCCAGCAACAGCTGTTTACTTCCTGGAACTTGGAAATGCTTTCTAAGGCATTTTCTCTTTTCTCATTTGCAATACAGTTCAGTGAACAGTGTTTGAAGTGCTAATACGATGAAAACTTATTTTCTGAAGCACATAAACTCTAAAATGCAAGACTATCTTTACTGCACTGAACCGAGACATAGCGGATACCATGGCCACCAGCTCTCCAGTACTACAGGGAATCTGCCATATAACTTGCAACTCGTGAGAGCAGCAAAGCCCCAGGCTCCCACAGCGGGATCCAAAACCCACCAGGCTACAGAGAGAAGCTTCATTGCACCCAAGCACCTGAGCCAACAAGGAAAGATTATTCTTGTTTGCCCTAAGTAACAATGGTACTTGCCCTACAGGCTGTTGCAATACCTCTCCTAGACTGTAGTGAGTGTGCCTAGATCGCAGATGGGCTAATGCCCATGCACCAATCAGCTGCAGGGCTCCACAGCTGGATGGATTTCATCTCAAGTCGCAAGCCATCACAGGAGCAGGCCAGGCCAGAAGAAATAATCATTTGTTGTGCACATCTGTTACAACCATCACATCCAACAAGGACAAGTCAACTGTTCCTTCCGACAGTATTTTGTTTCTAAAAGAAAGGGTAACTCCTCTTTGAACAAGTGCCAAAAGACTGTAATTTAGTGAATCCAACTACCTCCTCTCAATATCAGAAGGAATATACCTGCCTGCCTTTAATAGCAATTCTATTTTTTTAAATAAAAATGTCCTATGTCCTTATGGCTGAAGTCAAACACTCATAAAGGCCCCTGCTTTGCATGGTTCCAGGTTGGATCCTCAGGCCATTCTATAAGGGGCGAGCTATCCTTTGCAAGTTGTGGTATCAAACCAAACAAATTTCTTGTTTCCTTTTGTTTTTTAAAAGCTTCAAATAAGGATGATGATAGCCTAAAATATTTGACTGAATGCCACTACATTATAATTGAGCAGCAAAGTTATTGTCTTCAAATCCCTGGCTCCAAAGGCAGAACACTTTGCTATTGAAACACTGGTACAATTATAAGCCAAATAACTGAAACAAAGCAAAAGTAAAGTACCATTCTAAAGAGAGTGTCAAGAGTTATAGGAAACTATAACCTGAGAGTCAGATTCTGCTTCCATTTTCACTACTGCAAATCTAAGCTAACTACCTTATCTTTATTGCAATCACTATGGATATAAAAAAACCTTCCTTCAAGAATCCATAGCAGGAAGGGAACTCATGATGAAGCTTTAAAAGATGGCTGAGCTGAACCACCAGCTCACTGCCATTGAAAACAAGAGGTCACTCTCCTCATCATCCTTGCACAACTCTTCCACTATGTTTATCTTGCCTGAGCTAATTCAACTCAGTAATCCAGCATAAAGGTAACTAAGGAAAGCTTTTTTTTTTTTTTTGAAAGGGGAATATTTTTAGTGAGTTCAATCAGCTCACTGATGATGAATGTAAAATTAAGGCCACAGTTGATGCAAGGAAGAATTAAAGACACATATTCCTTCAGTAAAGTGGAAAAATGGTTACTCACTGCCTGGCAGTATTTAACACCAAAATAGCTCTATTAAGGTTCAGGAGAAACACATGCAGCAGAGCAAAAACTGTCTCAACTCAATAATCCATCTTGGTTACCATGGAAAAGTCAGGGTTTGTCCAAGTTAGAAATGAGTAATCTTGTATTCACCACCCCCTTTTAACCGGACAAACACCAAATAACAGCCTATTCATTTTATTATTTCTTTAAATTTATCACAATAAAGGAACAGAATATTATTTGAATATTCCAAAGTCATTATTTTTTTAGACAGATTTTTTATTATTTCAGGAGAAAAATTTGCAGGCCCTGGATTTCCTGGATTTCCAAGCCCTGAATTTAAGCAAGAATAATGAGTTGAATCTGTATTGCCTGTGGTTTAAAAATAAAGTAATTAAAAAATAAAAGTAATCAGGCCTTCCAAAAATGTTGAGCTTGTATTATTGTATTGAAATTTCTGATATTGAAAACAGTATGTCTGAACCTTTTCTTTTTTTTTTTGCCTTGTAGTTACAGAACACATAGGTTTCATGCTTTCAAATTTTCCTTTGCCCTTATAAACTTAAGAAATTTTCTTATGAGGGGTTTTCACTTGATGCCACCAACAGGAACTTAAAGAGAAATAAATAAATGAAATACCACAGAAGTCATAATAAAACTGTAATAATGAAGAGCTTTGTTCTTTCCCAACACTCATGTTTGAATCTCATTGCTAACCTCACTGAAGTCAGCTTAATTTCCCTATGTTTTAAATGTGTTTCCAAAATAAACCGTAGGGTATAGTTAGAAGGGGTAAAGTATATATTAATACACTTTACCTTATATGTATTTAAAAACCAAAGCAGCACATAAAAAGTATTAAAAAAAACCCAGTAGAGTCATGCAACAACTAGAGGTTACCAAGGCATAATAAAACATGGTAGTTTATTCAAACCTGCAGTTTAAACTCTTAATATGCCCCCGCAGTATTAAAATGTGTTTATCCTTCCATACTATGCAGCAGGGAAATGCTGCCCTCTCCACTGTGTGCTCATATGAGCAACTCTGGCATAGGGATTACTGACATGTTAGTCGGAGGGGTCGCATTTGCACCTGACCAAACTCACCATTCATATGTGCTTCTTAGGGATCAGTTTACATTTTGGAACAAGCCAAGCAAAGAAGTGCAGGTATAGAGGAATTCAAACACTACTCTTCCAGGTGACGCAGATTCAGCTGGCTCCAGCCACTTGATTCTGCAAATTCGAGCGCGTTTACTTAAGGCTGTATACAGACGACTACAGAACTCAACATTCAGGTTCGTAAGTCAGTGAGAGCTTGGTGCTCAAATACCATTTTTGGATGTCACTTCCTTGCCAGCAAGAAGTCCAATTATTCTTTTGCTTTTCTATAGGTGAACAGTCAGTATCTGAACAAATATGTGAACCACATGTGGAAACAGTTTGCTGGGCTGCAGGAAGAAACAACATAACTTGTCATCCTGAAGTGCTGTTACAGCTCTCCAATTTATAAGCTAACTTTTGCTGGGATTTACCAAACAGGATCTATAAAACCATACTGATTTTATTCCCCTGTGACCTGTAGCATTTTCTTTCCCACGAGCAGAGAGTAGATTCAGTAGAGCAATGCCAGGCCCACGTTAATGGCACGATACATAGCTGTGCACAGTAGTGCACGTAGTACAACAGGAAGGATGAGGAGTGTATTAGGTGCAGATAAGGCAATACGTGGTGACAGTGGCACAGTTGAGCTTTAGTCCCCAAGGACAGGCAGGACTAGAAGATTGGATAGGTGGGGGAAGGTACCAGACCTCAGGAGAAAAAATACCCCTGGAATGGGGAAGAAGGACCTGATAGGAGGGAAGAGAAGGTATTCGACTGCTGTGCTGCCATGTTAGAGGAGCAGGTAATGAGAAAACTCCATGCTTGCTGTTGTTCCAGCCCACATGCATCATATCTAGCTAAAGAAGCCAAAGAAAAGTTAAATGAGGAAGGAAAGCTGGAATGGAAAGTCCTAGTCACCGCTACATCCTGCACCATCCTTTGTTTCCTTACTAGCCGAATACAACCCAGATTTGTTTCTCTGCGGTACTTTCTTTTGAATCAGCAGCTTTTTCTTTTTTTAATTAAAGCAAATCTTGCCAAATTCGTAGGAAAACGTACAAGCTGAAAAGCAAGGGTTATCCTCCCACCCCCCTGCATATGATTACTGCCATTATAGGATATCACATTATATATACATATATATGTATACATATACACACACATTCCCACCTACAAGCAGTTTACCTGTCTGAAAAAAGGAGGAATACTACAGAAACTGTAGGGAAGTATCTGAATTTTAAAAATGCTGAAATCTTTCCTCTAGTTAGACATTTGACATATGCATAAATTGTTAAAGGAATAGAACAACAATACTCTTCAGTAAAAACAGAGACGCAACTTGTGAATTACAGCCACATTTCTGCAGTGTTTTGCTGTAACATTTTTTGATGAGCCCTTTAAGAATCTGTTGAAAGGTATCCCAAAAAACGGCAAGAAGGATTTTTGTTCTTTCTTATCATTTCTTTGATGCCTACAACCAACACAAAATTAATATTACATTCTCCATCAACCAGCAAATTTTGAGAGCCTCATTTCAATTTTAAAACTCATACTTTTCTTCATGAATTAAATATACCACCTAGTAATACCATCACTATGGTAAGGCTGGATTTTACTTTCAATAACACATTGATTAAACTCTGCCCTCAAGAGTTTCAGTTTTCAATATGACAAAGATTGCTTTGATTATTGCACGACTGCATTATCTATGTATTAGGGTTTAAGTACAATGGCATGATTTGGAAGGTATTTGGAATTGTGCCTGTCATATAAAATCTATACACAGATGCACAAATTAAAGCCCATTGAGCTCAATTCCCTGGTGCCTTTCTGGAGCTCAGCTGGCATCGCTGCGCTGAAAATTGGTCCCATTGTCAGGAGCTAGACAATCACGTCTTCCCACTGCCTTTCCCTCCCCCTACAGTTGTCCTTTTTGGGCCTGCTTGCTACACCTTTTGTGGACTGCCAGTGCTTTGTTGCAGGGAGCGTGGCCTTCGAATCCATCCTGCCAATTTGCTAACACTGTCAGAAACAGAAGTTGGGATTTACTGAGCTATTGACAATAAAGTCAATATTGACAATTGACAATTGTTTAATTTGACTAATTGTCAAATTAAACAATTTGACTATTAGTCTATTGACTAATACACTATTACGCTATTAGTCTATTGACGCTATTGACAATTAGTTTAATTTGGTTTCCCCATCTCTGCTGGGCCTCCGTGCAATAGAAGCGTGCGCAGCAAACTTGGCTGCGCTCCTCTAATGGTCCACGTAACACAAGCTTCCTCTCACATCTAGACTCCTTCTTAGGTTTTAATCTGAAGCTTAGCGCAAGTTAGAATATATACTAACAGGCTGCAGTGCAAAAGAGCATGCTCTTAAATCAGCATAGGTCAGATGTCTCTGAGGACACTGGAGGAGTGTGGATTTTGGGCCAACGGGTAGCGATATCTACATAGCAAACTGGGTGCAGCTGTAGCTTGGACACATTTACATAAACACCTGCGAAAACCCACTTAGGAAAGACAAGCAAACAGGGTATAAGTCCTCAGGAAATGCTGGTTACCCACTAGTCAGAGTCCCTGCAGCTTTGCTAATTTACGTCTTTTGCAACTGTTCCACCTCGTTTGTGCCAAGCTTATTCTTACAGGAAGCAAGCTTCCACGTCAAGTTAAAGTTCAAATTACTTCATCTTCGCTGTTACTTTGAGTTAGTTAGTTTTGGTTAACTGATTTGAGTCAAAGCTCAGCCTCCTTAAAAATACACACGTTGGCAGACCTCTTAACTGGTTCCACTTCCTTGTCAGAGCAGGTATACATGGAGTCAGCTGTCTGTCCATCTAACTGTTTATGTTAGTCAGAAAACATCCACTGAAGTGAGCTGTGAAAAATCCAAGTGATTTTTGCAAACCCTTGAAGGCATCAGGTAAAATAGAATAAAACACAGACCAAATAAATTAATAATGCCAGTAATGAAAACCTGTGAAAGTCTGCACATCCTCAGATATGGCTAAGAAAACCCTCATATCTCTCTCTGCTGGAAAACATCAGACAAACAAAATTCCAGCAAACGAGTGCAAGTGCGCAGAGCCAGTCTGGACTTGAACCAAGACTGATTTCAAGTACGTTAGAGATCTTAAGTGAATATTTTGCACAACTCGTTCCAGGCTTGGATTTTGTGAGCTGAAGGCAGGAGCCTATTTCTCTTATGCTGAGTACAACTAATAACAACTGTAAAATGGCGCTGGCTGCCTGACAGCACATAACACTTTTATCCTCTGACCTTTCTGAGAAAAGGAGCAAGGTTGGCATAGATGCACACTTGCAAATTTTTTCCATAGTAGAAGATATTAATCCTGATGCAACTAATTATTACACCGTAAACACAGTCTTACTTTGATGACCCTCATTTCTCAGACTGATAAACACTTTCTGCTCCTGATTTCGTAAACATATACACTTTTTTAAAATCTTGCTCATAATCAGGTCTTTTTATAAGAATTTTACTTTGCATCCCATGTTACCTCCAATCTCAAATTTGGGAGATTGAAACTAGGTGGCCCAGTAAAATATCCTGTTTTCAAAGCACCCAGCATTTTCAGAGGGAAAGCAAAACAAACAAACAAACAAACAAAATCAAGCCTTCTTTTCCTAGCTGTCTAAATATATGGCTTTGTATGTTAATTAGATAATCAAATTTGAATTAAGACGTTTGCCTCCATTTTAATAACATTCTTTTCCATTGTTCACCTGACCACACCGTGATGGCAAGAAGTTCAAGCCACTGCAATCAAAGGGTAGGCTAATTGCATTAGGTTAAAGCATACAAAAGGCTTGACTTGACAAGCCCTTCGCACAGAAAACTCCCATTGACTGCAGCATCAGGGCCTTACGGGCCGGGCCGGAAGAGGCAGTCACACGGACATTCAAGACCCTCGTGGTTCTTTCAGTTCTTTTCTTCATGCTTGAAGAGCGAGGTTGCCATCTGGCACGAGCTCACTTGCAGCAGCTGCGCAAAATAAACTCCAGCAAACATATGGGGACAGGTGTGATTAACAGTTAGATGGGGAGTGGGGGGGGAAGGACTACATTTTAATTTATCTAACAAAAGCTCAAGGGGACTGTGCACCTCAGAGCACATGTCATATCCCACCTTCTCAGCCCGAGAATTTACTCTTCAACCTTAGTGGTCTGCAGAAAGCTTCATCCAAATCACTGCTTCCAAGCACATTTTGGGTTAAACTTTAAAACTGA